ATAACTGCAAAGAGAACAGAAATCATCAGTATCATTGATATCACATAAACAATCCATTCATACKCACCTTTGCTCTGCGGCCACAGAGATTCTCAAAACCAACAATAAAGACAGTCACTTGTTGTTGATACTAAAAACAGATGTCATGAGGCTCAATGATTTTTGTAAAATATTCCTGTTATACTATGAAAGCAAAATAAATGCCAGCTTCAAGGGCAGTGCAAACCAGAATATTTTCACCCCCCCCCCTCCCCCCCTCAATGATGCAAATGGCTACCATTGATTTAAAAGAGACAGGAAGCCCAATAAGGGTAGGCTGCGATCGAGACTATTCCAAATTGAATCTAACAGATTTCTTTGTACCTTTCAGTGRAATTTTGAAAGATTTTGAATTGTATCACTTAAGAATTACTTGACCCTTTTAATACATGGGTTGAAATGAGGTCCAGTCGACATTTCCTGGCTGAGACCCCAAATCTCCCATTACAATCAACATGTCTGGATACTGTGAGACCGGAATTGAGTGTCTACATTAATGGGTGTCAGCAGACTGTTATTCCAGTCATACCAGGGATGGATTCCCCTTACTAATGAGGTATCCATAATATAGTGCTTAGGCATTTACAGTCAAAAGACATGAAGCGTGCCCCCCATTTAGTTTGTTATTCAATGCATTATTGGATTTTTCATTTTATTTTTTGTTTTCAACCTTCAGTTGATTAATCAAATCTCGAACTCTGATAATGACAGAAAACAACACAGCATTTCCAGCTTTTTGAGACCGTCATTCCTTTCTCACGAGAAGGAACAGATACAACCAAATAAACAGACATCATATCGCAATGCATCGACTTGTGGAAATTACAAAAGAACAGCATGTTTACAAGCGAAATACGAAGAAGGCTTTATGAAATTTTGATAAATAATCCAATCAAATTTCGAAGTTTGAATTCAAATTTTATTTCAATGATGTAATGCTGAATTGACTAAGAATCGAATAATGAATTGAATAATGGTGTTATGAGAGGACGCCTTTCATGTCTTTTGACTGTAGTGACATTAAGTACTGTCAAAGGCCATGTCAGGCAGGGTCATCATGTGAATTTTCACCAAAACATCAAAATCCAATTTTGTACAATTAATACATTGCATTGTATTCCACTTCCCTTATCTTAACCAATAATATTTACAATATTGATACAATTATAATAATGATATTTCCWACCTTTCTTTTTGCCACTGGATCTGATAGTATTATCATGAGTTGAGCCTGCAAGATGAAAAAAGTTAATTGTAACATTGTAGCAACATTCCGTTTAAAGAAAGTACCATAGTTAATAGAGAGAACACAGTATAATGCATGCATGGTGAATTCTCACCAAATGAATAAATGTCCTGGTTCTAGATAAAAGATTTTATTCCGTCTATATAGCATTCTATCATTCTAATTCCAGGTACATGTGCATTTATGCAAATTGATTTAGTACTCTTAAAAATCAGGTCTATTCATCGACATAAAAATCGTAACTTCAGATGCAAAAACAAAGGMAATAAAACAGAAAAGGCAAAAGTTATATTTAAATACAACAACAGAAAATTTATGGATTATGGACGCCCTCCCGCTTTTAGTATACTCCCTCGAGAGTTCGACCTCGACAAAACCAGATTAAATTTGAAAACTATGTCTAATGTTATGGTACAACATTGTAATTAAAGGATTAGAGCGTTCGTTCTCTATAACTAAGCCAAATCGTACCGTTCAAATATCAAACCTTACCATGTCATCAATAAATTCCAGGTTCGCTTGCTCTCTTATGTATTCTTCAGCGATTCGATCGACTTCGGCCTTGTCATGTCCACCAGAAAGTTTCTCACTTAARTCATACGTATCCAACGTCTTTTCAAAATAAAAAAAATAAAAGAAACTTCAGTAATAGTTCACAATTATTCAACAATTTCTAAACGAAACAACGATCCAAGAAACATACTCGAACAACTCGTTCCTTGATTCGTTCGAGTTCTTCTTGAGTTTCGATTGCCTTTCGGATCGCTCTTGCTTGTGAATTTGCTTGTAAAATGGCTTGAGCTGGAGCATCGCCTCGCTCTTCRTAGCGTTGTATTTGTAGCATTTCGTCTCTAGTCGCGATCAAACTTTAAATCCATATTTTATGAAACCAAGCACGGCTGCTCTGTTGTTGCTATTTGACTTGGTGACGGTTGTCGAGATGCGATATTGATCCAACAGTTGAATAAATTAGCATATCTTAGCGAGCTATGACGTCATTTACTCAAAAATTATACGATTTCAAGCTATTTCATACCCAACAATTTTCTCTAATCCTTTTACAAAATCTGCAGACTTTCGACGTTTTTGCATGTAAGCTATTCAAGGTTTATCTCGTTATAATTTCTGTTTTCAAATGAAGTGCTTCCCGTCGTTGTGGCTATCGACTATCGTACCGTCGGTCGGTTGGTAATGAATATGATGAAAAAGTGTAATATAAAAACAAATACAAACGACAATAAAATGTGGAGACTCGTTTTATGTGCATAAATTCGTGTTTTCAATTCAGAGGCGTGCGCAGGGGGTGGTTCCATGGGCTCCGAAACGCTTCTTCTTGGCAGACAAAGTCTTCTAAACTCGTCACAAAATCGTTTGTAAAGATGCATTCTGTGTTCATGTTGGCTAAGGCCCTGTGCTGATACGTAGTCTTTCTCTCAGCAGTTGTCAGAGTCAAGGTGTGACCGGGACCTTCCTGGCAGATCGAGGAAAAATTTTGGCAAAGTACGCGAAAACTTGTCCATTTTACTAGGTGAATAGTTCAGTATTTTTTCATTCATTGTAGACGAGTTTTGTCCACATTTTTGTTTCTGCGACTTCACATTGAGATTCAATATTTGTGTCAAAACCCACTGACGAAGGCCACGAACAGCTACACAGGGTTTCTGCGCAGTTTCGTCTTCAGTTGAGTATACATACCCCGGTTTTATAAATTAGCAGATTTAGCGTGACACAAGCTATCAAAACATTTCAATTTCATTTTATTGGAATATTAAGTTCAACTTCCCAACTATTTACATCTTAAGATTTCTCTGTACGCAGGCATAAGTACTAAAAATGAAAGAATCCTCTGCATTTACTTGATATTTTATTACCGAGCTTTCGGCCTAAGCGGCCATTATCAAGGTAGAGTACACGTAAGATTTTAAACAACGCAACATCTTGTTTGTAGCTTTGACAGCCACACAAATTTCGATACTTGATAAAAGTCATTTTAATAAATATATTTTATAATATTTTTTGTTCGTAAAGTCGATCATATCGAGCAATAAATAATGTTTTTTTCTGCATTCATTGTTGCATATGTCTCTTAAATAAATTTGTCAGAAAAGCCTTTTCCCTCATGACTCGCGGTTGTTACCAGTCCCTGCGCTGTTTCGATGGACGGCCAGTAGATGGAGTTAGTCTTTTAGATAGGACATTTCATTAGACATCGTACGAAGCGAGTACCTTGACACATTCTTTGGCATCGTGAGTACGTCGAGCCTGTACGTAATAGATCAGTACAAACGAACATGCATCGCCTTGCATTGAAATCACATCCACTAAAACAAGAATTGAGGTTTGCAATGACGGCTTTTTTYGGTGGTGGTGGTGGAGCCGGTGGTCTGGCAGACGATAGTCTAGGATAGACTACAAGAACGATGCAGATGGCGACGAAAACAGCTACTGTGAGTTTCATTCTAAAATTGGAATCAAACATCAATTGAACAATAATTAACACAGGAAAAATTGGAATGTTAGAAAAATGTGTGGCTGAACAAAAGCAAAATTAAATTGTACAAAAAAATGAGAATCGATATATGTTATCTGATTTGGTAAAACACACCTAGAATTGATTTTACGATTACCACACTCAAATGATACTACAAACTTGGCGGACAATTTTATCGCCATTAGATAAACTGATTTGATTGAAGTGTTTCGAAGTGCTTTATAGTGAGGGTCAAACAGAAATCGTATCTTTATCGCGTGACTTCTCAATAAATTCATTAGTCACGATTTGTACTGCTATACAATCATTCAATTCTGGGTTCAACTGTATAGATTTCTATCATTCACGTATTTCATGTTAAGATGCCGWGAASAACCTTCGTTCCGTTAWATTTTTTTTATTTTATTTTCGGCAATATCGCACCGCGTGCGTACAYATGCCGGTTAGTTTGGTATAAAGAAAATGATTATCAATAGGTTACAATTACTGGTTGAGGAAAAACAACAACAAAACTATTGAATAATGTCTGATATCTGCAACTTTGTCAAATAGTGCAAACRCTGCAACAATAAAAAGCTCTTTTGATTTACCTTATYGTGTYKTTGAGTTAACTTCCAAAATAATGTATAACGTCTTTTCGGGAATAAAGTCCTAAGTTCCTCTTGTTATTGCTTGCTTGGCTGCTTGCTTCGAATGGTAAATTTTGATGTCGATGGATCTTTGCTCGCTTATTTATAGCAATCCAGCAGCTCGAGAAACAGCCAAGCGGAAACAACATGTTGCTGACGTTGAAACCATACTCCCACATTGCCGTGACTCAAGTTAATTTCAAGAATTCTTGWCATTCCATTGTTACGGAAACGCTGAAGGGTTCTAGCAATGGCAACGCCTGGCCAAGTAAATCCGGCATGTCTATTTCACAATTCAAATCCTTAGTATTATAATATAATTGTCCGTTGGTATTTCCTTTCATATTTATGTGGTTTTCAAGAAGTGTTTCTAAATCTTTTACCCCGCACTCATCTATTTTAGCTCTCTGGACGTCATACAACCTGTGCGCTTCTATTTGAAATCATGCTTTTCCGAATCCCTACTGATTYAACGACATAAAAACCTAGTGGGATTTATTGTATTTGGTAAAAAAACACACAGATGCCATCCGAGATCCGCTCGTTTAACTGCCATTTGGGATGACTGATTGATTTTTGGAACGATGCTTCGGCCAAAAAAAAGTAATAATAAAAAATAAAAATAACAACAAAAAAATAAWAAAAATAAAATAATAATAATAAAAATAAAAATGTCAGAATAACTATGGCTTTGCACCATGGTATGGGGAAATACTCGCAGTCTAGAACTTTACTGTGATATCGATCTAACTGCATTTTTGCTAGATATGAAAATTTTTTCATGCASTTTTAGACGCTCTGTCCGGATATCATTTTTTCCTTTTTCGCAGTTGAAGGAAAAGGAGGCCTTCATTTATCTTAGAATCTATATTATTGTTGTAAATTCGGTAAGGAAGAGAGATAAAAACGAGACAAATCGAGGAACACAAACAGGAAAAAGACAGGGAAATCATAGAAAAAGATCACAACTATTCAAAAAATCATCATTTCATACATTTTTTCAGTATTTTCTTGTTCTGCTCTAAAACTATTCAACTAAATATGGTTATTCTCACTAACATGAAAGATTCACTGAGTCAGGGTTCTAAAACTGCCCAGCTATTCAGTTACGTAAACAGGAAACTATCCTAGTAATCTAAAACAATAACAATCTACCCATCTAATACAATGTTACTAAACAAAATATTTCACATATGTCACAGGCAACTGATCGTCGAGAATGATGGAAATGTTTCATTACATGTAATCACGGATGTCAATACTTTGTRWTGTCAGATAATACAATAATTGGACTATGAGATGCTAATCTGTCTGAACTGTAAAACTAGGCCGAAATTCATCAGTTTGTTTGCCCAACTTTGGAATTGTCTCGTTCAGTCCAGGAGAGAAATATRG